ACAAATACTAGGCATAGGTATAGATATAGATATAGATATAGATACAAATATATAGATATAAATAGATATAGATGTAGATATAGATATAGATATACTAGTAGATATAGATATAGATATACATGTAGATATACATGTAGACATAGATATATAGATATACTAGTAGATATAGCTATAGATTTAGATATACATGTATATATACATGTAGATATACATGTAGATATACATGTAGATATACATGTAGATATAGATACAGATGTCTGATGTTTCCCTTAGGGAAATTTCCGGAGTCACGTTGCTGTGTTAAAGGGTGGGCACAGCTGAATATTGATAGAGTCTGCCAAGCCGCCCTCCAGAGGGGAGTCCAAATTACACTTGCCCCAGAAAGGGACCAGAGTGCCCCTTCATCTACACCCTCCTGGAGGTTTCATTCTCATCTTTGCAGACCTGACAGGTAAAGAATGATACTGTGTGGCTGTCTAATATGAACCTTCCATTTCAGATGAGGTTGAGACTGAGCACCTTGTCTCATATGTTTTGAAACATTTATGTTTTTTCTTTGGTGAGTGGCCTCTGCACGTACGTCTAATGTAGAGGCGCCAGGTCCCTAAGCTCACAAAACACCCTGGTCTTTATTCCCCTACCAAATACTTTATTGAAAAAGAAAAAGGAGAAAAAAAAAAAAGTAAAATACACACAGGTGAGGGGAATACACAAAACAGCTGGAGGCTCCAAGGCTGTGCTATGGGGTTTGTATTTCTAAGGTTCAGGGAGTTGACGTGGCAGAATGAAGCTGCGAAAAATTCAGAGAAGATATTAAATGTATCACTTCAAGTTCTTTTGGTAAAGTCATACTGCACCCTTCTGGGTGGATCAAAAAAATATATTCCATTTTTACTCGGTAGGAGGGATTAAGCAAAAAAGAAAAAAAAAAGACAGAACTCAGGGGCATGGACAGCGTGTGGTGATGGGGGGGGTGGAAGAGGGCACAGAGGCGATACATGGTGATGGAAAAAATAAAAGATTCTATTTTTAAAAGAAATAGTGCACATTTCTAGTTATAAATAAGTCATGAGGATGTAATATACAGCATGGCAACTATAGTTAATAATACTGTATTACATATTTGCAAGTTCTCATCGCAAGAAAAAAACATGGATAACTCTGTGTGGAGATGGATCCTGACTAGACTTCCGGTCTGACCATTCTGAGACACAGACACACAGGAACAGGTTGTGAGCTCACTGGGGATCACCTGTCTTGTGTTTTTTAGAGTGCCCTCCTCATACAATGTTGCTATGGCTTCTTTTTTCTCACTTGGAACCTCAGAGGCCACTATCACCTAATCAATGCCTGGCATCCAAAATGCAGCTTTAATGTGTTTTTTTTTCCTCTATAAGTTCTTTGCCAACATAAGCTTAGCTTTCACCTCAAGATTTATTCTATTGTATTCACATAGCATCCCTTCCCATCCTGGAATTGGGGAGAGTGAGCGAAATGCCAAATCCTGTGGTCATATAATACACATTAACAGCTTGACAAAACAGATGGGGGTAACTTGGGGACAACCCAAGTGTAAAAAGACATTTTTGAGGCTATTCGAACAAAATAAAGTTGAATATACACTGGGTATTAGCTAACATTAAGGGATTATTGTTCATTTTACTTGGTATGATAATGGTGGTATGCATGTGTGTGTGTGTGCATTCATATTTGTTAGTGATACTTTAAAAAACAAATAACATCACGGGTTTGCTATCACACAAGATTTGCTACAAATCTTGGAATTGTAGTCTCTCACAGTGTAACAGACTTTAAACATCGCCTAGGCCAGGCATGGAAAAAACATTTCCATTTACAGGCCAACTCCATGCTCTTCCCCTCTGGCTTGTGATGGGCTAGGAGAAACCTTGGTCTTTACGAGTCAAAGAAAAAGTCATGACTCATCAGTGATGCTGGCTAAGGGCACGAGTTAGGACAGTAGGGCCACATGTACTGTTATCAGCACCGTGTGAACCCCGTCTAGTGGTCTCCCAGGGAGCTCATTACTTGTCAAGGCAACTCATTACTTCTTCAGACAGCTGTCTACTAAGTTATTTTTCACATTTTGAGCTGAAATCTTACTTTCTGTAGCTTACAATCACGTGACATAATGATTAAGTTTAGTTCCACTTGGACTTGACAGTGTTTGAACTACCTGGGAACACTCTCCTGTCCCTTCCAAGTTTAAAACATCACGCGGTCCTCCAAGCACTCCTCAATGGCACGGACACCACCTCCATCGTCACCACTCGCCCATGACAGGCGTCCCCATGTAGCACAGAAAACTGTCTGTTGATGTCTTGTTGTCAAAGCACAAACCCCAACATGCCATGACTGCATTAAAGTTTTGGTTTGCAGAATCTCTGCATTCGTTTTTAATTCAGATGTTCTCTCTTGAGCTCAATTTGGCTCGTCTGTTGAAGCCTTCTAAAATCTTTCCAGTCGTCCTGGCCAGGTGGCTCAGTTGGTTAGAGCATCGTCCCATACACCAAAAAAAGGCTGCGGGTTCTATTCCCAGTCGGGGCACATACCTGGGTTGCTGCTTTGATACCCGATCTCTCTCCCCTTCTCCTTTTCTCTCTCTTGAAATCAATAAAAACATATGTTGAAAATAAACAAAAAAAGAACACACTGTGCAGAAAAGTGGTGATCGCTCGAATTTCCTAGAATTCCGTAAGGCCCAAGATTGGCGTGGCCAAGATTGCTAACTATTCACCAGAGTCCATTTGCTCCAACTGGGGACATGGCTACGCTCATCACTCCCCCCCCCCCAACCCCCCGTGCAGTTAGGTGCGGCTGTGCCTGAGCTCTGGTGGAGGGGAGGGGAGTGGAAGTGACTGTACCACTTCCGAGCTGATCCATAAAGCCCTCCCAGGCTTTGCTTCCATGCTCTTTCCCTCTGGCTGGGCTGGAGCCGAATCCCTGGGGTGACATTGGAAGCCACAGGTTGACACCTGGAGCCCCATCTGGAAAAGAGCCACCTCTCTAACGTGTTCATAAGAGAAACCACCTTCTCTCCTATTTGAGAGTCTGTGTGTTACAGCAGCTAACCCTTCTGACTAATCCAGTAGAATTAAGTTACAGCTAAAATGAAGCTCTCCTAACCTTTACCAACTAGCGACCGTCACTCTCGTAAGGAGACAGAGGCCATTCAGAGGCCAGGACGATCCTTCTCCCGACCCATCGGCTCACGACCACGAGGAAGATAGGAACCTTGCCTCTGGCTCGCCCGGGCTTGGGCCGCAGCCACAAAGCACGCGGGCAGATTCCAGTGATGTCAGGACTCGGCTTGCCTTGACCCTCAGAAACACGAGTCCCGCCCCGCAGGTCTTGGGCAGATGCCCGACTGCCTTCCCGGGCGCTCTGGCTCCGGCCTCGTCTGTGCTGACTTTGCAGAAATGCCTCAAAGCACTGCCCGTTATTGTCAGGGGAGAAGCTGCCAGAAGCGCTTTCAAAAAGCCACAGCGACCTGCACGGCCAGAGCAAGGCCGCACCCATGGCCCACCTTCTGAATGAAGCATTCAGCCGATCGATCGATCAATCGATCGGGCAGGGATACACCCTCAGATAGTTCACGCCCTGGGCAGAGCTCCCCTCGCGGGGCAGATGGGCTCCCCTTTTTCTGTTGCTTCTACTCAGCACCAGAGACTTCAGAGAGAGTTCCCTCCCCGATGGACCGGGCACTTAGGTAACCAGGTTACCTTAAGAGAATTAGCAGCATGTACTGCATGTCATTGCTTGTTCCTCCCAGGTCTCAGCAACGATTCGAAGGGTAAATGATTGACTAACTCTTTCTTCATCACAGGTTCATTGGCTTTGAGATCTTCCCAATACAATGTTTTTCATCTTTTAGGAGCCAGAGACCCTTTTACTAATTTGGTGCAATGTCTTGACCCTTTCACAGAAAAATACAAATGCCCACAGGTGCATGCGTACATGACACATGATGTCAGGCACACACAGCATGCCTAGTTCATCCGTGATCCCGGGCCCATGCACACTGCAGGGCAGAGGTCAGCAACCACTCCCTCTAAAGGGCCAGACTGTACAGAGTTGGGCTACTGGGACCACACAGTCCCCATCACAATTACTCAGCTCTTCGCTGCGGGCATGGCTGTGTCCCACAAGACGTTATTTATAGACTCTGGGCTTCATATAACTTTCACGTCACTAAACATTACTCTTTTCATTTTTTCAGCCATTTCAAAAATAAAAGCTATTGTTTGTCGGTAGTCTGTACAAACACCGGTGACAGACCACAGCTGGTCAGCCCCTGCTGTAGGGCATGGGTTCCAGATATAAAAATATTACATCTTTGGATTCACCCGAGGATATTTTTCCATTGATTTTTAGAGACGGTAGAAGGGAAGGGGGTGGGGGGGAGGAGAGAGAGAGAAAGACATGGATTGGCTGCCTCTTGTACAAGCCACAACCAGGGTCTGGGATCAAACCTGCAACCCAGGTATGTGCCTTTGACCGGGAATCGAACCCGAGACCCTTTGGTGCAAGGGCCAACACTTTAATCACTGAGCAACACCAGCCAGAGCTTCACGAACTTCCATGATGAACGTAGGCGGCAAACCTCGGCATCAGCAGTAACGGTGATGGGCCCCCAGCAGAAATCCCAGGTTCGCTCACCCCACATCAGAGCACTTTCACACAACGCACAGTACGGTCAGAGTGCGATCTGTTTTTGAATTATGGTCACTACTGGACCTTCTGCTGCATCTTGCTACTTAAATGCATTGCTAGAGAAGCACATCTACTCTATCACAAATCCGATTTTTTATATTTTGATAACTGTACTTCAGTGTCATTGATTTCCTTTCTAACCCTAGACATTTCATTTTACGGATTTAAAAACAGATTTCTGAGAAGCAGTCCTGAGCTTTCGCCAGCTACCAAGGAGGCCACGGTACGGGGAAGGTGAGGGGCCCGGGCAGGAGCACAGCATCGCCTACCAGAGCATTCACGTCTTCCGTCTTGTGGATGAGCATGCGGATCTCCTCCGGGTCGCCGCTGAAGATGGCCTGGACCAGTGGCGGCTGCAAAGGCAGGAGAGTCTGAATCACAACTATGACTAAATACATTCGATTGCATGCAGAGGCGGGAGGCTAGAAAATGTGTTCCCCAAAGTGAATCCAACACGATCAGCTGGCAGACAAAGACGGATCGGGCCCAGGCCTCCCTCCCTGGAAGTCTAGTGGGGAGACAATTGCATAAAGAAATAACTATAACACGATGTGGAGGCCATGACACAGTCACATCTGACCTGGGGCTACTGGTGTGACATGAAAATCACCCACAGTTGAAATGGTCCTTGACAGGCCCTTAACTTCCCCATCACGGAAAGGACCAAATCTGTGATTTTGTGCAAACGGACCCCTGTAACCTCCCCGCCCCCACCTCTCATTAGACGATGTCCCCGGTACCCCATCCTCAAACAATCCATCCCCACAGGACGCTAGTGGCCATGCTGGCCTCCTGCGCGCTTCCATGTCAACGTTGGGAAACCTTGGGCATCATTCCCAAACACCTCCCATCGCGTGACCAACAAGCCTGAGTATTTTAGACTCGATCACACCCACTGCCTCCCCAAAGGGCGTGGTGTGAAGGCGGTTGAGGAGCAGGAAGAGGGGGCGATACTCAGCACTTCCTATTGGCCTCGCCTACATCAAGCAAGACCCCACGCATAGTGGGTCTATCAAGTGTGATGGAGACACAGCTGGAAGCGAAACCAGCTCTGCTGGGCGCAGGTAGGTGAGGAGAAGGGCCCAGAAAAGCTTCAGGAAGCGCCTTCATGAGCATGAGCTTGCAAACAGGGAAGAAAGGGAGGCCAGGCGAGCACTGGGGGCCTGCACGCGCAGAGGGGTGGAGACACACAGAGCTGATGCGTCAGACATGCTGCCAGCAGCCTGGCCACCAGAGTGTGGGGAGCAGGAGGACCAGGGGTAGGCTCTGGGCTGGCGCTGGGTTTGGCCACGGAGTGAGAATCCTGGGCAAAGCCAGCTCCACGCCTGCAGCTCATTCCCCAGCGCAACGGGGGTGCGCACGCTCTCTGCAGCCCAGCCCCTCACAGGACTGTTACCAGGAAGAAATGAGGTAACATATGGGAAAACCCTCTATAGCCATACAACCCTACACAAACAGCATGTTTTATTTTATTTTATTTTTTATTGATTTCAGAGAGGAAGGGAGAGGGAGAGAGAGATAGAAACATCAATGATGAGAGAGAATCATTGACCGGCTGCCTCCTGCACACCTCCTACTAGGGATCAAGCGCACAGCTCAGGCATGTGCCTGACCGGGAATCGAACCGTGACCTCTGAGCCACACCCACTGAGCTCAACAGAAATACTGAATCTCGTTTTTCTGTTTCATAACCCTCTGCCTGCTGTGCTCCTGGCCAAATGCTCACGTGCACTTCCCCGCCTCTGTGAGCCCCAAGAGAAAACGAATCTCCACGCCCAGTAACCACAGACGACAAGCAGAGGCAGAGCCCCAAGGATCTCGGCGTGGAGTCAACAGCTGAGAAGTTCAGGTGCTGAGGGACAAGCCCATCCGGCGTGAGGCACCTCGGGCTTCACCTGAGGAGGCAGTCGGTAAGAAAGCCGCTCACCCCTCACCAGCGGGGGGAACGCGCACGGCTCTGTGGCGCTCAGTCCTCGCGATGCTCAGGAAAGACCAGGGCTCCGGCCACGCTGGAAGGTTCCAGGAGAGCCACCCGACAGGGCGGGTGCGGGCAGCTTCCCCACGCCCTCGGCACCGCCCCGGGCCTGCCTTGCAGCGCACCCCCAATGCCCAGAATCCCAGCAGAGGGTGGGGTGCACACCTGTCCACACCCGGCCGGGCTCCGCTCACCGCTGCTGTGGAGGGGCTGTCAGTGCATAGAACTCCCGGCATCCGCTGGGAAGGGGAAGCCGAGCTACTGCTGGAACTCTCCCACACTGCAGGCACATGCACACATGCACAGATACACCCACACGGACACGCCTGCGTTTGCACGGGCATCTACACGCGTGTGTGTGTACACAAAGGTAGATGTCGATTCCCATACAAACCCCTCACCCTGCCCGCGGGATAGGAAAGTGCCTGTTCTCCATCGTCCTGCCAGATGGCACCTCTCGCCCCAGCCGGCCGCGTGGCCACTGCCACATCCTCGTCCTCACAGCCCTGAATCCAGGCGTCACCGGGCTCCAAACCAGAGCTTCACCGGCCTGGGCTCTGCTTGAGCGGAAGCTGCGTGTTTGCCTGGATGCAATTCTTGAACTAAATTACTGTGACTCTTGAGCAAGTTAGTATTTTTTTTTTAAGACATAATGGGCCCAGCCTGCATGGCTCAGTGGTTGAGCATCAACCTATGAACCAAGAGGTCACGGTTTGGTTCCCGGTCAGGGCACAGGCCCAGGTTGCGGGCTTGATCCCCAGTAGGGTGTGTGCAGGAGGCAGCCGATCCATGATTCTCTCTCATCACTGATGTTTCTATCTCTCTCTCCCTTCCTCTCTGAAATCAATAAAAATATATATATATTTTTAAAGAGACATAGGGGTGTTTCTTTCTTTCTCTCTCCACATCCCCACATACAACATGCCCAGCAAACACACTGGTATTCTCACTGGCTGGGATTTTAATCCGATCCTACTGTCTTCTTTTTCCCTAAATATAACACATTACTCTGGGGATAAATATTTGGGGAAAGATAGATCTAAATACTGTATCAATTACATAATTTTAAGGAAGGAGAACTATTCTAATTACAGCGTCCTTGCGCGTGAGTTTAAAGGACTTAGACTGTACTGATCACTGATTGGAAACCACTGTATCCTTGGAGCTTTCGCCTTGACCTGAATAAGGCTTAGAGGCAAAGTCTTCCCTGAAAAAGAGTAGGATCCTAAGCTGGGCACAGACGGGCTTTTCTTTTTGACGTTTCAACATGTGACACCAGCTTCCACAAAACAGGAGGGCGTTGGGTGCAGCCGGTCCAAAGCTGACGGACACCAATTCATAACAAGGGTCAAGGTTATGAAAAGCAAATAGTGGCAGGGGACAAAGGGAGATTCTGATGCCATGAAACCTCAGGTTGTCGTTCCCTAAAGAAATGTAACAGACAGGTGATGTACTGCAGAACTATATGCCTGAAAGCTGTGTAGCCTTATTAACCACTACCACCCCAATAAATTCAATTTTAAAAAAAGAAATGTAAACTCTTAAGAGAGGTCTGTGGGAATTTCAGCTTCTATTAGGAGAACTGCCTTGGACTGACAATGACAGCCAGGTGCTATGGATAGTGGCACAGCCCCTTGGGTAGACCCAGAGGCACAGGAACACCTCCTGTGCCTGCCTCACCAATGGCTCAGTTGGGCGCAGCACTCAGAGGGGCCTTGTCCTGTTTCAACCTCACCCACTAGCCGCACAACCCTCTCTGCCGGGAGTGCCGGCAGCGGCAGCCAGCTCCTGGAGGTCACTGTCTGCACTGACTGGTGACATCTGACCCCTCTCCGACGGAGAAGTGCTGGGCAGAGGTGTCCCTGGAAGTTGGCGCCACTATAAAGGACGTGGCTAGCTCTTGCTACCACTAGAAACTGAAAATGCATCCATAAAATATCAGTGTCTCTATGCACATCTCCCATCAGCCCATACAATGCAACGCTTCTCGATTTTAACCTCAGTCTTTGAGAACAAACTGAAACGATACCAGATTCCCACAAATAAGATGCTGAATCAAGCACGTACTGACAGTCTTCTCAAATTTTGCAGTAGAGTCACAATTCCACTAGGGGGAGCAAGACGGTAATCTGTCACCTGGGAGATGGGAGTACTGGTAAATGCTCAGGTTGTGTCCTTAAGAAAAGCAAGGTGGCTGGAGGATGCACTGTATTCAGACATAAAAGACCTCGAGCTCCCGATAGGGTTCCTAGTATAAGTAAACACACTTGCTCTGTACAGACCCAAAGGAAAAAACACATCCCTCTTGATCCCTGAGGCCCCAGGCATCATTCTCATCATTGCAAAACCCAATCCAATCATTCCCTCAATTTCACTTTTTAAAGTGCATCCGACAGGTGTGTGTGTGTGTATGTGTGTGTTTCCAGAGAGGAAGGGAGAGGGAGAGAGAGCTAGAAACATCAATGATGAGGGAGAGCCATTGATCAGCTGCCTCCTGCACACCCCACACTGGAGATCAAGCCTGTAACCCAAGCATGTGCCCTCCCCAGTAATCGAACTGTGACCTCCTGGCAGACGCTCAACCACTGAGCCATGCCGGCCAGGCGCATCCAAAGTTGAGGAGTACAGTCCATTGTGGGTTCTATGGGGAGAGGGCCCCTGTATAGAGAATCCACGCCAACCTGCAAACAGGCCCTGGGTCCCTCCTCCCAAATCCCCTAATGAAGCCACAAGTTTGATTTTTTGCTAAAACCTTGTGCGGGCACTTCACAATGCCTTTGCCAGAGCTGCGTGCTCTTTACTAATCCGCCGGCTCCGGACGGAGAGCGGAGTGACAGAGGCTGTCTCGGAGCATCCGTAACCACCGTCAGAGGCGAGAGGTCCAAGAAGACGCCCCAGCCACACGTGCCAAATTCCTGGCACGCTGCGCATCTTTTACTGAGTTGATTGGGTCGTTAAAGACTCCAAGTATCAAAGAAAACATCTTGCATTCGAATCAGGAGTGGGCGCTGGGACTCAACCAATAGCCAAGAGGGGGAAATGATATTCCGAAACATCTGTCCATACTTGAGTGTTCTGAGTGCCATGTGTCATGAGAGCAGGCCGGGCGCGCGCTGGTAGTAGCTGATAGCTGATGCGGCAATAATCCCGCCATATGAAACCGTCGGCTTCTCTGAACATGCCGAAACACCTCATAAGTCACAACTGGGTTTTGGCTGAGGCAGAGCTTGCGTTTTTACAAAAGGATAATAAAAATTTGTTCAAGTCACTAAATTTAATGGGCAAAACTTGTTCGCTCTATCATGTGGGTCCCTGTGCGATCTGCGAGAGTGCACCATGGATGCTTCCTGAATATAGATCGCTCGCTGCTTGGGAGAA